TTATTTTTGTGTCTCGTAAGAAACGATAAATCCATATTTTTACTATATTTGTGTTGATTTTTTAATATAATTTTTAATTTTCACAAAATAGGTACCTCTCAGAAAAACCCAGACAGACCCCTGAAGTATTCTTTAAATTCTCTATTTAATCTAGTCTTTAAATTTTAATCATGCATTTCTTTCAAAACAGTTGCTATGCATTCAAAGTCATGTATTATAATGAAAAATTATTTTAGTTAGAGCTTCTAAAATATTGTTACAATATAGTTTTAATATTAAGTTAATTTGATTAAACATTTATAATTTTTTTTAATCATAAATTAAAGTTCTTACAGTGTATTTCAATAAAAATCAAAAAAATCTGACTTAAATCAAAAAAATCCGATTTAAATCAAAAAAATCTGATTCTTTTGATTTTTTTTAAAAAAATCAAAAAAATTACGAACCCTGCTTTAAAATAATGCAAAGAATTGTATACCGTATCATTCGACATTTTTTCGACTATTACCAAATATAAAATAATAAAAATAGTAAAAAATAAAATAGTAATAAAATAATAAAATAGTAAAAAATAATAAATATGAAGTAAAATGTATTTTTTGAGTGAATTTATCTTTGGACAAACGAATTTTACAATTGTGTGAAAAAAAATTTCAATTCAGTTAAAAAGTTTAGAGAATACGCAAAAAGTAAGATTAACCTTATGGGATCATTGGATCGCTCTCCTAACCAAACTAGGGGAACCCTATTTCCCCGATTGCGGCTACCCCCTATATTTTGGAAGTCAAAAATCGGAATCCGTCGGAAAAAAGGCATGTGTTATACAAAAATATAACCTATTTTATAAATATTAATTTCTCTTGCTTTATATAAAAAATTAAATTATTGAAAAATAATTTAAACCAAACTTTTAATTTCAACTTGTCTAAAAACTGTCTGCTTCAAAAACTATCTGCTAAAAAAACTTGAAAATTTGCTAAAAAAAAAAAAAAAAAAAACATACATAAATACAACAAAAATTACTTTTTTTAAAAACGTAACAGATAAGTTTTTGTAATCATGAATTAGATTAGTAGAAAGACAATTTTGTCTAAAGCATTTTATTGAATTAATGAAACAGAATAAAAAATATAATATAAGTGACTAAAATATGTTTTAAAAGTTGGGTTTCATTTACTAAAATATTGAGAATATGATAAATAATAGTATTACTTTATTTCGTTATTTTTATTTAAAAATATGAAAAAATTAAAAGAAATATATATACAGTATCTTTTTAGCATTATTTTTCTTAAAATTTAATTCACGACATTTCAGAAATAATCTTCTTTACTGAGATTTATTTCTCATTTTATGTATCAAAGAGATTTTTCTTTATTATTTTCGAAAAAGAATTTTGAAAGGATTGATAATTCTACGAAATAAGTTAGAAGTCGTTTAGTTTATTTGTTGAATTTTTCATTTTGTGCATCAAGTATGATTCATGGTGTTACTGTTTCTTTTGACAATTATTTACATATTTATAAAGCTTCCGTTAGATGTTAAATGAAAAGCAATAAAATATTCAACGTAATAGCATTTGCTAAAAGAACTAATATTAAAATATCAAACGCGACATGCAAACAAGAAATTCTTCATTATGTTTTGAGTCATAAATATTTGTTGAGTAATGAAATATTTTTAAAAATGTAATAACAGAAAAAGAAATGCATTGTATTTTTAACTGTTAACTTAGCATTTATTAGGTTGGTGTCACAGTTCATCTGGTTCACTAGATTGATTGCTTATTGACTAGTTTTACCAAATGGTAGAATTTAAACAAGGTTGTAGTAAACTAGTCTGACTTTTGAAGTAATGACTAATAGCATTTACTAAAAGAATTAATAATGAAATATCAAACACGACATGCAAACAAGAAATTCTTCATTATGTTTTGAGTCATAAATATTTGTTGAATCATGAAATATTGTTAAAAATGCAAGAAAAAAAAGGAAATGTTTATAGCTTAAAAATTTGAATCTTTAGCTGCTAATTTAATATTTATTAGGTTGGTGTCACAATTCATCTGGTTCACTAGATTGATTGTTCATTGACTAGTTTTACCAAATGGTAGAATTTAAGCAAGATTGTTGTAAACTACCTATTGATTGAATACTTCTGTATTCGCACAAATATTTATCAAAAAGGATGTTTTCTTCTTTTTACTCTATAAAATATAGATACAGAATTTTGAATTTTTTTTTTAAAGCTTTATAGTTTATTTAAAAAAATAATAATTGTCTATTCAGGTTAAAATGATGTGAATTTAAGATTCAAACAGGGATCAAAGCATGCGAATTAAAAGTGATCATTACGGAAAACCATATATAACAATTAATTTCGGATGAAAGTTAGCCAAGTAGGTGTAACTTTCCTATCTCTGTCTAATCCGTAGGATTTTGTAGTGTTATTCAGTACTGATATATTGATCGATTACTATATTCCATTCGATACAAAGAACTGGTATTCAGCTAGTAGTTTTATGAAATGCATCTGCTCAGTTATTTAAATCTTGAGTTAATCATTCTTAAAAATATTTAGTGAACAATACTTTGCTTTCCTAACACATAAATAACCAATATTAATTATAAAATAATCCTGTGCAGAAAATTATTTCAATGAAATAGCTTATTCCCACTAATTTCATTTTAAATATTTTTCATTAATAATAAACTACATATTATTTGGAAATTATTCTGTTAATTCTGTTCAGATAATATTTTATCTTCATATTCTATTGCGGCATTCTCGTATGCAATTTCTTTCATAATATAATCTACAAGTTTAATAACTCATATGAGGAATATTACAGATAATTTATACAGATTTATAAATAATATTAGTATTTCCTATTTTTATTTAAATGAAATTTAATGCAACAAGCTTAGCAATCAAAAGTCCTCAACAGTTGTAATGACCACTAAGCCAAGTTTGCCATACATAAATATATATATATGCACTCATTCACGTTTATAATACACTAGTATAGCCTCGATTATGGATTTAAAATATTATATCTTTAGCACCAATTTCTTGATAAAATGCTTCATAAAAAATGATTATAGCATTCAACTAATTACTTATAATCATGGGGGAAAATTGCTAACATTTTGATGACTGGAATTTTAAAATTACCATAGTTATATTTCTCAAAAAGTTATTTTTTATTCATATAATATAATAGTAGTATAATGTTATTAAAATAATAAAAATCAACTTCATACTCAAATTATAATAACTCCTGTTATAAATAATGATTAACTGGTTGTCGAGCGTATGTAATTTTCTATGAGAAAAAAAGTATAGAAAAGGAAATTCTTTCTGAAATGTACAATTAAATACCGGTATTTAATTTTTTAATAAATGCACCTACACTCAACTATTCTTTAGCTAATTAGTAATTTTAAAAATTTTTTTTATCAGTAATAAATGTAAAGAGAACTGCTTTGTTGGAACACAAACAGCCACTATTAATTTTTAAAAAAAAATGCTTCTCAGATTAAAGGAATAGTAATACTAATATTAAAAAATCACAAATTAATAGTTTTCATCAGCATGTTTATTAACACCTGAAAGTAAATCTGATTAAAATCGCATCTACAGACACGATCTTAAATTTTGAATATCTGGCTATAAGTTCAATAAAACACGCATCACTGATAAGACACCGACAAAAAATAACTTAAGCTACACGTGCCGTTTTGTTGTCACATGAACCTTATATTAAGCTTCAGCTTCTGCGCATGGCTGTTCTATTGTGAAAGGGTAATTTTTCATGTCTGTGTCTCATTGTTACCTCATGTCACTTCAGTGTGTGGCCTGCCTAAGGTTATCTGAAACCACATGTTTATTTTATTTATTTTTATGTTTCTAAAACGCGTTTTGTTTTATAATACTAAATAATTTAAAATCAACGGTAATTGTTAATATAAAAACTATCGTACTAAAAAACAAATTTAAGAGAGAAATGGTACTACTTCGTTGAGGATAGATGTAAAAAAAAAGCACCAATATTATTATTGACACCAATAATAATTAATTTTAGTAATAGTTACAAAGTGAATTAAAATTATAAGTTATGACTAAATTAATGGAGAAATTGTACTAATTCATTTAATACAGGGTAAAATGTCGCCAATCTGTTATTTGAGTCAATAATGCTTAACTAATTTTGGTAATAGGTACTAATAGAAAGAAAAAAAATATTATCTGTACAAAACAGTAAAATTAGCTGAGAAAAGTACTTAATGTTCGGTACGGGGAACCGTGAGAAGTCGCCTTGCTATTATTGACACCAATGATACTCAATTTTGAAAAATGGCACTATTACATCATGGTAAATAGTGCAGTTTTAATAAGTACCCAATATACTCTTATAAAGTTACACCGCATTTTAGAACTAGCTTGTAGCTCTGATAAAAAAAAATTAGTTTATTATGCTTTCTGTAGTACTTATTTATTTTTAAGTTGTGCCAGGTTATCTGAATGATCAACGCGATCGTGATAGCAAAACCGGACGAGGACCTCTCATGGTAAGCCTGACGGCAAGGGGACTCTAACCAACACCTCCTAGAAGTAGGAAGGCCTCAGCACGGATCAATTTAGTAGTCCGATGTGACGAAGTTAACTGCGCAGTTAATGAAAAATAAGAAAGATGTCATTACGTTCGGGGTACTAAGCTGCGCAGTGGTTGAAAATGCGAAATATTTAACTACTAAGGCCCGGATTTTGATGACATTTGCATTTTTTTTGTATTTTTGGACATTTTTTGTCCTTTAGAGCATTTTTTTAGAATTATAGGGCTTTTTCATAAATTTTGGGGGCGTATTTTGCATTTTGAAGCTTTTTTTGTTAATTTTTTTCAATTTTATTATTTTTTGGGGCATTTTTATTACATGAAATGCAAGGTTTGTCTTATAATTTGTCTTGATTCAGAAAATGCTGCATCAATTAAGAACGTGTTGGCCTCTGATAAAATCGAAAGAAACTTATCATTTATCAAATCTAACTTTGCTATTGTGTCCTCGACAATTACAAGCTTAGAGAAACAAGAATTGGAACTTACCGATGCAATATTGACGTAGTGAGTCAAGTGTTGCAAAAAGCAAGATAGCACTAAGTGTTGCTGCTGAACAATTGAACAAAGATTTGGAGAAGAACACTGGCCTCCAAACAATGAAGAAAATCTATAGGATATTAACAGGTTTAGCAACATCTTTTCAAATTGAAGAAGAATTGTCAGTAAGTGAGACCGTCTTTTTCAAGTACGCACCAATAACATCAGTAAGCGTTGAAAGAAGCTTCTCCAGGTATAAAAATTTACTTTCAGACGAGAGACGCTCGTTTACATTTCAAAATATCAAAAATCATTTAATAATCAAATGTAATTCTGATATTTAGTAATATTATGAGATGGAAGTTATTATGAGATGGAATATACATCAAAATTTCTATACAAAATAAAAATGTTTTGGAGTCAATACATTTTCCTTTTTTTTTGTTATTTCAGGAAATAAAACATATTTTTCAAACTTTAATGAACGTAGAACAAGTATTGCATTGCTTTATATTTTTTGAAATGACTCATAATAATTTTAAAGAGTAAAGCATTGTTTTAGTTCAATATTTTTACTTAAAGTCATGTCATAAGGCATTTTTAGCGCAATGTTCGCATTTTTAGAGTATTTTTTAAGGGCATTTTTTGCAATTTTTAAGGGCATTAGTTGAGATTTTTAGGTCATCAAAATCCGGGCTCAAGTCATTACGTTTAGACTACTAAAGGATATTTATGGTAACCCGTGCTGAGGCCTGCTCTTTTCTAGGAGGGGTTGCATGACACCTATCTTATTT